ACTTTAGAGGCTTGTATATACGTGCTATCAAAGGCTTGAGGCAGAGTGTAGATCATAACACCTTAAGTAGAACGGATACGGTGGTAACGATAGGGTGAAATCATTAAAACAGGCATTAATAAATAAAAACAAAGAAAAACTGGGTTTTGATGAATCTCCTGAGATAATAGTGCTGGGGGACTTTCATTTCTTATGAAAGTACATGAAAAAGAGATTCGTAGATTGATCGAACTAGAAGAGGACGGCTGAATCCCGTTGTACTTCACTTGTTTGGCTTTTATAAGACGTTCAGGTTGACGCAGTCCACAAGACCTCCTCTCTCGTTTCGGGTGAAAACGGGCTGAGCTTTCGTCCATCAAAGGATGGACATCATCAGAGCTGGGTTTCATTCCTGTAAAAGTCTCACGTTAACACTAGGGCAATAAGAATATCCGGCCCTGTCTTACCTCTTATATAGACCCAAGTAGAAGGACCAGTATGAAAGATTATTAGCCAAACCACTATATATATCTTGGTTTTTTTTATTTTCTTTTGCTTAATTGAGTATATACAAGATAGAGCCAGAAAGTCTTCCTGCTCCAGTGTTAACGGGAGACTTTTACAGGAATGAGATCAAGCTCTGATGATGTCCGTCATATGCTGGACGAAAGCTCAGACCGTTTTTATCCGAAACGTGAGAGGAGGTTTCGTTGACTGCGTCAACCTGGACATCATATGAAGCCAAACAGCTGCAGTACAACGGGATTCAGCAGTTCTCTTCTGGTGAGATTGACGTACGAATCTCTTCTTCATGCACTTTCATACGAAATGAAAGTGACTCCAAAAAATAAAAACTAGTTGGAAGTTGTGATATCGAGGTAGTCAGATACAGCTCTGCAGTAGTCGCTATTTCGTGGCCAATGTTAAAGGTGAGGATAATAAAGTTTATATATATATGTATATATATATATTGATATTATATTATCCTCACCTTTAACATTGGCGACGTCATAGTGACTATTGCAGAGCTGATCAGTTTCAACAACATTTTAGTTGAGAATATGAACTTTGCTACAATATCACAAACTCACAGTCCTTCTCACTAAAGCTCCGTTATTCGGACAGGGCTACTGCATAGATTGGCGTACACTATGAGTTGTGATTTGCTTTAATATTTAGCAGAACATACTTCAATTTTATATTTCTTACGATAATAATTCTACTTCTTTTTTATTATTAATACTTGATTTGCTCACTCGACAGATCTTATCTTCCAATCATTGGCCAGCCTGTGTTCATTTTATCTCACTATCTCCGATGTCTTGGAGGCTATCCCATTTCTGGTCGACCATTGCATTCTTTGGATTTGGCTCTGGCCAGCAGGCGTTATATTGGGAGAGTCGAAGTAACAAGTTCCAGCAATGCTGCCGCCGGAGTAGCTGCTGGTGAGGCTCCATTTCTTCATAGTTTGTTGGCTGCCCTTCTCACAACTGCCCGCTGCCTTGGTGCTACTCAGGATGAATTGAGTAGAGCCCTATGTGTGCACTCGAATGGCACAGCTGAGAACTACAGGGTGCTATTAAATCAGGAGTAAATTTAAGTTATTGGGCTGATTTGCTGACGGGCTTTAGTCACAGGTTATATCGTCCTGGCGATCGGCAGTGAAGGCTGTTCAGTAGTATGCCTAACGAAAAAAACGCTTTAATGTTATTGAGTGACAATCAAGTTCCTTTGTGTAAATTCTTAACTTTATAGCGATGCTTGTATTGAAAGTCTTAGCATTCCAATACGATTAACTTTCGGGTTAATTATATTGCAAGGCTTAAGTCAACTTTATTTATATTATTTGTTTATTTTTATACGTATAACAAAAAAATACTAGGAGAACAGTTTTGAGTTTTTCTGGCCTAGCACACTCGTGTGTTTCTTTAATATTACTTTCTGATTAATTCAACAGGGAGGCTTGATGCGATAACTAGGTTTGCTAAGTCGCCGCCCCACATAGTTCCGATGAGTGATGCTCCGAGTGGTGTTGTGTGAGATAAGAGATAACAGCTTAGTGGCTGGTTGTGACGACTGATGTAGCCAAACTGAAAGTAAAAATAGCTTGCTGTTTCCTGTTATGAATTTAATGGACTAACTGACGTGACAATTATTTTAAATATTCAAACTTAAAGTATTTTGAATGTATGAAGGCCAAGATCGTGTGGCTCTTGGTATGGTCGCAGTCTCCTTTCGATACATGGAAGTGACCCGTTTTCACCTAGTCCTATCTCCTCTGCCATCTGATTCGGGATTTCAAGCATCGAATCATCGACTTGGTACATTCCCAAACATTTCACCGGCATCGTCGGTAAGAAGTGCCAGCATTAGCACAGAGTTACAAATTATCAGTGACATGTGAAGGCAATCCAATTAACCAATTTTCTTTTCAACCATTGTGGCATCATCTCTCATCCCCACTCCCATTGTATCTTTTTCTTTGGGGCCCTGTATCCGGTTTAATTCAGAAACACCGGTGTGAAAGCCTACCGCTTCCCTTTTCCACTCCTTAATCGCATGAAGCACTTCTCTTGTCTCTCTAGTTGACAGTCCCATCTAAGCTTAGGACATTAGTCAGTTATTTATATGTACGTTGCTTGGTATCCCTTCCCCCTTTTGTCAGGTATATTATCAGTAACCTATCCTTAAAGCACACACCCGAAAAAATTCACGCAAGCACATCCACGCACCCTCGTGACCTATATCTTGCATATCTATACTTAAGTCTGGCACCTCCGATGGGGCATTATCCTACATCCCACAGGTGGACCCACATCGGTAAATTTTCATGCTGATTCTAGATTTGATTTCTATCAGTGCAATCACCCTTTCTTTCCCTCATAAACCTCTCCTTGACGATGTTTCTTGTTTCTGAATAGTTGTCCTCAGTTGCCATCCTCGTTGAGTTTCAAAGTCTGCCCAGGCAATGCGCGAAGGTATCGTTGAGTCTTTCCTCTTCCAATTTCCTGTTAATCAGGTTTCTTTAAAACAGGATCTCCAGAGCCTCCCTAATATTCCGTTTTCTGATGTTCTCACCATATGAGGCCAATCTTTCCGTTGCCCTCCAGTCAATTGTGTGGCCGGTAAGTGCGATGTGTTCAGCTATCTCCAATCTTTCCATATCAATTTTTATCATAGTCGCTGCCTTTATTTTATACTCTTGCTGATTATCCTTCCCATCTCCTACGTATTTTTGTTTACTGTCCTTGAAGTTTATGCTGTAGGCTCCGGAGCACTCCATTTTGTTGACTTCTTACTGTTTTGTGGGCAAACTGGTGAAGAGGATTTTCCTTTCCTCTAGGATTGTACAAATGTTCCCTTTTATTTGTATCGGCCGCAGCTTCTGAGCTGGTTCGCATGATATTAGACATTTCCACAGCTTTTTCTGTGTTTCCCTTGCTTTCCTTCCATAATTCCTGTCCTTCCATCTTCTCATCATGATCCGTATGTTGCGTTCTATTACTTCTTCATATACGTTTCCAAAATACATCTGTGTTATTTTTTCTTGTTCCTCTTCCCAGAACTCAGAATTCGTAAGTTGTACGATTTTTATAGCCATACTCCGAAGTATTCCAATCTTCATTCGATAAGTATCGTTAGACTGGAAGTTAATGCTTATTCCAGCATTCGATTTCTTTCGAAACTGTCGTTTCTAACGACCTCCATATCGGAGAATTTTAGGGGTCCGTTCTCTAGGTGTATATATTACTTTTTTACCTGTCTTTTAGGAAGATCATGATATTGCTTTATTTTTATTTTTAATGTGACTTGAGTGGAAGTAGTTATCCAAATGTAGCATAATAACTATTGGCTGATGAAGTGACATTTTGAAATTCCCTTCCAACTTATCCACGTAAACATTACGCAACAGAGGTGATAGTGATGAGCCCTTACGCAAACCAGATATTTACTCATAGCTGCGGCCATTAAACGTGAAATAGGTAGCTCTTTTTGTTTTGTTGTTTAATCGGATTAGAGACTCTTTTCAGATTCGTTCCGTCTTCAGGATATCATCTTTTTACAAGATCTCCAGTGCCGTGATTGCTTCTTCTCTTGATATGTTGGTGCATATGCACATCAAAGCTTACGAAAAGTTACTTTCTCTCTAAACTGAGGCCTTTGATTCTTTGGCAAACTCCGTATGAGTTCTTCACTACATCCGATAATATATCATTCACTTTCCTTACTTTATGGCAGATAAATTTCCCCAGTTTATGCGTTTTCCTGTGCTTGTTGCTTACTTTCAGCTTGGTTGTTTCTCCTTCTTTGTGTACCTTCGGTAAACTGTAGGCTACTGGGGCTCTCGCATCCTTTCGTAAGAGTG